AAAAAAAAAAAAAAGAACAATTTTTCATTAAAAATGCACAGATATAATATGCATATGACAAGAATTGTTTAAAACTAGAGTTTCTGCAACCATCCAAAACCAACCTGTCAGGCTAAGAACGCAAGAACATAGAGTAACATAGAATATCTGGTTATGTATCTCCATGTCATAACCTTTGAACAGCTTATCTTGGAATGTACTTGTAAACCCATCAAACCTATTAAAGATGAACAAATCAATATCTATACATTGAGAGATTCATGTGAATCCCTTTTGATAGCACGCTCTCAAAGTTAATTGGTAAAAGAAGAAAAATTAGTTATATGAGTATTAATATGAAAGAATGTAAAACTCACTGACTAGATGAGGCTTAAGAATAGCATGCTTACTTCAGAGTTCAAATCATTACCAGTCAAACCAACAAGCGTTTAGAATGATTTACACTGGGTTATTGTTTTGTGTTTTGGGGGGAGGGGTGTGCGTGTGTTTTTTTTTTTTTTTGGGGGGGGGGGTGGTTCCCAGTTGTATAAGTAAGCTACGCATTTCCCCCACCATGGAGAATGGTTTAACAAATAAATAGTACATGTCATTATGAGCAAAGGCAGTATTCATGTTTAAAATTTTTTTACAAATAAATATTAAATCACTCGTCAAAATAAGAAGGATTAGTTTTGTAGTCATACCCAAGATAACCAACCATTAGGAAAGCGCCCCAAGCAGTATTTTCCCTTCCTCTACTATATGGGCTTATGTCAGGCCCTGCCTACATGAAAAACGAATTATTTTAGTTTATTACAATAATGCTCCTCAATTATTGAAGTTCATACGTATCATCAATTGAATGATCAATCGAGCAGAAGCAAATAAAAAATATATTCTACAACAATATCACCCCCTTGGTCTCAAATTTCTATCCCCCTCATCCTATTCCTTTGATGAGCATCTATGTAGAATGGAAAACCAACTCACTTAAGCACCCCACAGTATTCAATGTGGGACTAAGGCATCTGAAACTAATTGTTCTCCATTAATTAGCCGTTTGGAAGCATAAAACATCCTGTTGACTAGATGCTATGGCACTTCAATGGCTTCTCTCCACCAAGTGGACAGTCCACTGCAGTCTATTGCAATGGCCAGCGGTCCAATCAAATTTCAGGTTTTCCCATTTTTAAAATAAGAAAATACAAGTTGGGGAGAGAGAACTCTATATAACCTGCCAAGCCTGCTATCCCTAAGTTTCCTTCAGGAAGTTTTTCGCCTTGTCAAGAGCTTTAAATCAAGCCAAGGAACACCTGAATAGGATCTTCCTAGAAAAAAGTTATGAATTTTTTAAGTGAAAAATCCAGAGATAACCAAATGAATAGTAACCCATAATTGAAAAAGAAGATTTTGAAACTTCTGGCACTTTACTAACCTAATTGGCTCTAAATGGACTTAGCACGACAAATTCTAGGTCCAAAGTTATGTTGAAAAATGCCAAGACTTTTTTAAGAAGAAGAATTTAACATTCTTTTTCCTTATGGGCAAAATGTTGTTATTGGTATTGGCTCCTAGACTCATTAAGAATAATATGAAAACCTTATTTTAGTAAGTTTTGTTTCATTTTTAACGATCTACTATTTAGTGGGGAAAATCCATTCATGTAGCTTTGGGTGCATATTGCCATATAGGCGTTCATTGTTGATTCTTTGATAGAAATCAACCAAACGCAGAAAGAACAAAGACCAGCAGGGGGGGGGGGGGAACTTAAGGACCAAAGACAAAAATAATTACAGGATATAGGATGAATATTGAGCATCCCAGGGTCACCAGAAACGCCAAGAAGTAGTCATGTCCCACATATCTCTTCTGCATTATAATAGTGCCCCAGATCTGTGTAAAATATAAATGCAGAGTTAAATAAGTCGAGAGCAAAAAACTTCAGTGGAAGATATCAATGAACCATGAAAAATGTTGAAACAGGGTGAAATAAAATAAAAGCATAAAGATTTTATCTAATCTTTGATCCAGAAAAAAGCTGGGAGGGAATGGAGTCTATGAAATCAAGAACAAGACAGTTTGGCATGTTTGTATCCTCACAACACATCTAGATTCCTCAAGAAACTGTCTCTTCCGTATACTACATTCAAAATCACACTATAAATGAATCATAATACAAATCAAGGATTATATGACCAAAACAACAGGGACTGGACTGGTGATATACCAAATACACCAATCAGCTAAGAGTCACATTTCTCACGATTGAAGAAATTCAATATTAATGGGTAGAATAATCATGATAAGAAGCAGCTGAAACATTACAAAGCTAAAATTTGACTTACCATAACCGGGATCATTTTAGCACACTTTGCAAGAGTCTGGACAGGGAAACTGACATATTTAAGGGCCTGGATCAGGCATTATGGTCATCAATTATAACTGATAAGGATAGCAAGTTTATATGAACTTCAAAATGTATTGATACACAGGAATGCAGCTTACCTCATACTGACAAGTTGTGGTCAGAATGTTTGTTACTGACACAACACCATACTTGTAAATAGGAGCTGCTGGAGTTAATTTTTTTTTACTTGCCTATAATAAAATTTGAAAATTATAAAGTCACAGATGATTCAAACTCTACAAATGCAGGCTGTAATTTAGAGCACTACAAAGCGTGACACAACCAACTGCGTTTCTGCAGTCAAACCAGCAAATTAAAGCTATGCACGGACATGACAGTATTATCCCATATAAGACCAGCTTACCAGTAAGGAACCAGCAGAAACAGCAGTTGTTGTGAGACGGTTGCAGAAAACAAGAAACAGAGAGTACTTGAAGTACTCCTTATCTACCCCATAAGGGACTCTCATGATCTTTTCCTGCAAGAACAAAATATACATATATATAATTGAACTGATTTTTTTTTTTCAATGTTAAACTATGGAAAACCAAAGAGTTGTTATTATCCAAGGAACAAGACAAAAAGAAGCTGCAAGTAAAGTGAAAGTAAAGATTAAAGCAGAAACAAATGGTTGAGGAAGAGCTTAATCTAATTTGTGCGAACCACTTATGACATGTTTACACATACATTATACAGCCAAACAACCTTTAAGAGGTATTAAGATTTTAAAAGGATACTTAACAACAACGTTACTGACTTCTTAATGAAGGCTAGTCAAGCTTATTTTTTCCACCAAAGTTTCTCCATTCACTCAAAAAAAAAAAAAAAAAAAGGTCTACAGATAATGTCTTCATGAGACATTTATTCAAATAGAACCGCCTATGGTATTTCGGCAACTTCTTTTTTAGGCCTAAACAACAAACAATCCATGAACATGCTACATGTACCACACTAGGAGTTCGCGCTTGGGTTGGTCAAGTTTACCAGAAATAAATGGATAACCAGTACGATTCAATAAATTATTGGATCCAGACAAAAATGTGCTAAAAAAAATATATATCAAATTCAATGCGAGAGTCGTTAAAATCAGCATATGTAATTAATAATCGAATACAATACTACGGTTCAAATCCTAAGAAACAAGCCAAATCAGCATTCTGTGAAAGGATTCAGATTCGTGAACTTAAACCTGCAAAATGAGAAGGGAAAAAAAAAAGCAGGGAGGGATGAGAAGAAAAAGACGTCGATAGAACAAACCTGCAAAACACCGTAGGTGACGAGTGTGACCATGATTCCCGACACCGCAAATATTCCTTTACATAACCTGTTCTCTCTCCAATCACCTGCTAGAGAAGAGGTTAATCCCGCCATAGCCCAAGAATGACACGCACAAAGAACATACGAAAACCAGGGAATAAGAACCCGGCCAGAAAAAAGTGGCGCGAAGTAGAAGTGGATAGCGCGGGACACTGGGCTTGGAGAGATCAGACAAAGGGAGAAGTGTGCTCTGATTTTTCCATCAAGACTGTTAACGTGGGACTGAGAGTGCGAAAAACAGAACAGAAAGGGATTGGCTCAGCCTCAGGCATCTCGCTTTCTCCGGCGCGCCTTTCTCACACCTTGGGCTGCCACATCAGCCTCCGCCTCGACTGAACGCTTCAACGACTCTCGGATTGAGACGGACTGTTCTTTGTTTGACTGATGGGCCCAATGGCGGGTCCTCCGAAACGGGCCATGCCCGCTAGCGCTTCATGGATCCACAGGTTTGTAAACATCGCGGGGTTGGATTCTCATTCTTAAAGTACGGATTCGAATTTTTGAGCCCATTTGCTTGACAGAAAGAAATGGAATAAAATGAAAATTTTGATTTTACGGGTGAACTGTCTCTCAGGCCCCTAAAAAAAAGGTAATAAGAAAAAAAACATAATTATAATTGACGGTTTAAACATCATACATAGAAAAATCAAGTTAGGAAATTTTATTTTAATTAGATTTGACAACTTTTAGATTTAATCCAATATATCATATGTTAAATATTTATATGAAAAAATTAGTATTGAGTAATGATGACAAAAATATAATAAAATATTCATATCTTGATTTCTACACTATTAGAAATAATTTTTTAATTGATTAAACCAAGCGGTCCCTTATTCACACCTCCCCCTTTCTATGTCAGGTCTAATCATCCTTACATTGTTCTTAAATTGTTTGTTTGTAAGAATAAGTTGCATTATTTAATTAAATTTTAGATCTTGTATTAAATTAAATGAATTGACAATGAATTTCTTTTATACAAAATGAATCGATGATGATTATTGGTTTGCATGTGACGCACGTATTTGTACAACGTCAAATTTAAAAGGAAACAAAAAACTGAGTGCATCCGTATCCAACAACGGAGTTGGAGTCTTACCAAAAGGACAAAGCACGTACGGTTGGCAATTTTCAGTTTATCTTGCTTCCTTCTGGTGTTCAGCAGAATCGTGTAGGTGTGAGCTATACGATAATCCCACGCCAGTTGTGTTAGCCTGTGGCTCAGAGCCTAAGAACATTAATTGTTGTAGATATAGGATAACGTTTCCTTCCGCAAAAAAGGAGTTCACAAGACCACAACTTGCGGTGGTTCTCGTTTCATTTTTCCCTTTTGCTACTGTTTTGGTCCCAGTGACCTGAAAAGGAAGTTGAAGTTAAACGATAAAAACTAAATAAACGAATTTGCACTGCAATTTTTTCAAGTCTAAGCTGATGGATTCTGCTTCATTCCCTCGCTTCTTAATCTCCCGCGTCATCTACAGCTCAAGGTAGTTTTTCGATCTTTTTGCTTTTCTGATGGGAGCTTTAAATTTAAGGATAGCATGAATATTGTGTGGCAGCTTGCATCGCTCTTGCTTGACAATTCAGAGTGCAAGAAATGGCCTGTGGAAGAAAAGGCTGTGTGGGATTGGGGTTTGTGAAGTTGGAGTGGGAAACTCATACGGTGAAAGCAGCATGAAGAAGAACGAGAACGGGTCAGTGTTAGGTGCGACTGATGAGTCAGCTTCAGAACCATTTGGAACATTAGACGCAGAAATCACACCAGAAACTGCAGATTTCTTTGTGAGTGATGCAGAAGGCGATCCAGATTGCCCCTCCAAAGGTTACTCGTCGATTGAGCAGGCACTTAATGCACTACGCCAAGGAAAGGTTGGTCTCATATTACTATAATTTTCTCATTGCCTCTCAAAGATTCTACATGTACACCTGTACTTGTTTGTGTTTTGTTCACACAACTATTAAAAGAAATCACTTTATGATGAACAGAGAAAAATAAAAGGCATTGGTTTTATGCGTGGCAATGAATAGTAAAAGAATGAAGGGTTGATTTAACCAAGTGCTGGGAATTTGTGCTAGTTTGTGATTGTGGTAGACGACGAAAATGGCGAGATTGAAGGGAATCTTATAATGGCGGCATCGATGACTAGTCCGCAGCATGTGGCCTTCATGATAAATCACGGATCAGGGATTATTTCTGTGGGCATGAAAGATGAAGATCTTCAAAGACTGAAGCTTCCTCTCATGTCTCCTGATTCTGAAATTGAGGATTCTTCCGCCCCAGCTTTTACTATCACTGTGGTATGCTTCATAGTCTTCAAAACCCACTTGTGAGCTTGCTGCAACAAACGAAACCATTTATATTATTGTCCTTGCGTGTGTTCAGGATGCAAAAGTTGACACTTCCACGGGCGTATCAGCTGCAGATAGAGCAAAGACAGTTATTGCCCTGTCATCTCCGGACTCAAAACCAGGAGATTTCAGAAAGCCAGGTCATGTGTTTCCCCTCAAGTACAGAAATGGTGGTGTTCTCAGAAGAGCAGCTCACACTGAGGCTTCTGTAGATTTGGTCACCATGGCTGGCTTGAGGCCTGTCTCTCTTCTTTCAGCTCTTGTTGATGTAACTGATGGTTCTATGGCTCCCTTGCCTGTTCTTAAAAACTTGGCATTACAAAACAACATACCAATTGTTTCAATAACTGATTTGATAAGGTAAGTTCTATGATTGTTCTATTACACTTGGCTGCCTCCAAAGCTGGATGCAGCATAACAAATTAATCATCATATTCATCATCAAGGTACCGGAGAAAGCGAGAAAAACTGGTTGAAAGAACAAGCTTCTCTCGCCTCCCTACTAAATGGGGCCTATTTCAAGCATATTGCTATCACTCTAAATTGGATGGAACTGAACATGTGGCTATTGTGAAGGTACCTCCATATATGCGATACATATTGTCTTTGATCCGTTGTTTCGTGTAAATTTCATTGAGTTTCTGAGACATAAATGCACAGGGAGAGATAGGAGATGGGCAGGATGTGTTAGTGAGAGTGCATTCAGAGTGCTTAACAGGGGATATATTTGGATCAGCTCGATGTGACTGCGGGAACCAGTTAGAGTTGGCTATGAAGTTAATTGAGGAAGCCGGGAGAGGAGTGATTGTGTATCTTCGAGGTCATGAAGGAAGAGGCATCGGACTTGGTCACAAACTCAAGGCCTATAACTTGCAGGATCAAGGTCGCGACACTGTTCAAGCCAACTTAGACCTTGGCTTAGCTGTTGATGCTCGTGAGTATGGCATTGGTGCCCAGGTCTGTTCTCCTCCTCTTCTTCTTCTTCTTCTTCTTCCCTCAAATTATCAAGATTTACATTAGTACTCCTCCGCTTAATATAGGACCCAAATCTTGAGTTGGTTTTGGTCCTAAATATAAGACCCATTTCTCATATTTATTAATTTTCTCTAAATTACCCTTATGGATACTCCCTCAACCATAACCAAGTAGAAGAGGGAGAGGGGATATTAAGAAAGATGATTATGGTGTTTTAGAAAAAATGTGTCACTTTTTTTATAATTAATTAACTTACCTAACTTTCTTAATCTAATCAAATTAATTAAATGGGTCTTATATTAAGGACCAGAGGAGTATTTGCATATTCTGATACTGATGTTAATTAACCGCAGATTCTGAGGGATTTAGGAGTCCGAACAATGAGGTTAATGACAAATAACCCAGCAAAGTTCGTTGGACTAAGGGGTTATGGTTTGGCAGTGGTAGGGCGGGTTCCTGTGATGACACCAATCACAGAAGAAAACAAGAGGTACTTGGAAACAAAACGAACCAAAATGGGCCATGTGTACGGTTCTGATATACAATCACCCGTAGCCGGATTCATCAATCCTATTGTAAATAACAAAGACCTACCCGGCAAAAAGGGGTCAACTTAATAGCAATACATAGTCAAAGAGATAGCCAAGATTTTCTTCTTCAAGTGAAAGATTTGTGTGAAGCATTTAATGTTCATTTGTGAAGATTGTGTATTCACTTTGCTACTGGAACGTTTCCAATCACAGGAGTTCCCCCCCCCCCCCGGGGGTTAGTTTTCTTTGGACTTCCACTTTGTTTCTTAAGTATAATGTATTTAAGTTAAAAACATGGACACCTTACCTGAGGGGACAAAAATTACCGCAAGGGGCGCCAATCAGCATCACTGCATGTACAGGGCGAAAATCTGGCAGAGAAGTTTCAGATTTATTATTTTTAGAAACCTAATGTCGATAGCTGATGAGCTTGAAACATGGCCTTATTGTCATCAGTGATGATTTATTTATGAAAAATAAACCAGAAAGAGGGCAACTGAAATCTATACGTACTATGGACGCGTAAAATAAAAAGTGGACTTCTATTTACACTAGAGACTATTGTATTATATGCTGAAATTATGCTACCTCAGTTCTTTAATTTGAATTTTAATTTAGTCCTACATATATAACTCTAATATATTTTATTTCCAATATTTACCTATTCTGCTCTCAAATAATTTTTATAATAGTTGCATATGTTAAAAAGCTGGCATCAATAGATAATTCAAACATATATGATTAATGAGAGTATTTTAGAGAAAATAATATCTATTTACTACAAATAACTAACTTAACTAACTTCTTTAGTTTCCATAAATTAATCAACTAGATCTTATACTACCTCCGGTCCTTAATATAAGACCCTATTTGACTTTTATTTTGGTCTTAAATATAATATCCCAATCCACTCTGTCTCTTGTATTTTTACATTTTTTTTTCAAAGTAGCCCTTATAACAATGATAGTTCTAATTAATATACTTGATTAGTAAGGATATTTTAGGAAAGACAACACCTATTTAGGACAAATAACTAACTCAACTTACTTCCTTAATCTCCTCAAATTAGTCAACTGGCTCTTATAATTAGGACCGGAGGTAGTATTAAAGAACGGAAGTAGTATATTCTTAAAGGTACAATTGATGTAATATATACTATATCATATCCTTAATATAAGAACTAATTTGACTAATTTGAATAGATTAAAAAAATTAGTTAAGTTAGTTATTTGTAATAAATATATGTTGTTTTTCCTAAAATATCATTATGAATCATATGTATTAGTTAGAACTATCATTTGATAAAATATTTAATATGTGCAACTACTATAACGACTATCTTAAAAAAAAATATAAACGTGATAAATAAAATATATTTGAATTTTATATTTATAACCAAATTGAATATCAAATTAGTTTTTATATTAAATGCAGGAAGTAGTATATAGTCATTATTTTCCATCACCATTAAATAATCACTCCTTTTTTCCCCCCCCAAACCCGGAAGCTGAAACATCAACTTCAAGAAACTTTTATACACTATTAGGCTCACATATTTATCGATCAGAGGCTGTGATGCCTCTTCAGGAAAATCGGATATGATTGAAATGATCCGAAGCTTATGCATACGAATGATATGATCCTTAGCTCTCTTTTCCTGAAAGAGAAAATTTCTACCAAAGATATCTTGTTTTTTTGATCAAAATACAAAAAAGGGTACCATGTTTAGCACACTTTGATCTAACGAGTAGAGACCTGTCAACTAAGCACCGATAATCTATCTGCTGGACCTGGCAAAAACAGTTCATCTTCTGGTCAGTGAGAAAGTGAAATTTTCTAGCCGTACCAAATAATTGGAAGATTGGGTCTAATCGAAGGATTAGTCTTTCAAATGAAGGTTCAAACCTTATTAAAAGAAATACTCACATTTAATGCCTAACAATATCTTAAATACAATTACCACAGATAAAAAGATACCCATGTGTGAGGGGAAAATTGGAATACAAAATGAGCTTACTGACTCTTCATAGACCCAAAATAGACTCGAAGGCCCATTCTTCAATCTCCTCCGTACTTGTTTATTGGGCTGGGCTATGCATCATTTAGTGCCGTCCATATAATCCTGGCGCCTCCTCAACCTCAACCCTAGACGGCTGCTCCTCTAGCGCAGGTGCGATGGCGGATTTTGAATGATTTAACTACAAGTGATCTTCTGTTTTCCAGTTTCCGACTGTTGATTCTTACAACTTTTTCTTTTAGGGTTGGAGCATTGAATAGGTCGAGTATCATTTTCAGCAACCCATGGCTCCGAGCAAAGGTATTTCCCTCGTCACTACCGAGTATTTGCCCCGCTTTTCATATCAACATTCGATTTGCACCAATGATATTCAAATTCGGCCGAATATAATGACGTAGTAATTGAATTTTCTCATTTAACAAATAGAAGGGATGTGCCTCTCCTTAGTTGTCCCTGCATTTTCTACGGGAGTTATTTTACATTCACGTAAATTCTCTTCAGGGTAAATGCATGGGTACAGACTTTGTGAAGTTCGATGTTGATTTGGGTGAAAAGTTGGGTTAATTGATTAACTAGTTCGGATATCTAATCTTTACTGCCTAGCTTAGCGGAAATATCTCGTTCCTTTTGCAATTATTATTGTTGAAGAATGATATTTTTGACAGCATTGCCTTAGCAAGCTTTTCTAGGCTAGTTTCACAGCACTTTATTATCCTTGATGGGCTTGTAATAGATTTAGCTGTTAAAGGCAAATTCAACGTTCGTATGAGTTAATAAGTGAGTATTATTTATAATGCTCACACTGCTTCAGCACCTTTGTCGACATTGTTAACTCTCTCGATCTCGAGACCATGGCCAGCTTTATGTTCGTCACTTCTGCGTGTTCTAGTTGTCTTTACATTGTACTTTTTTTCCAGTTAAGATTATATGCTTTTATTTTTGTTCGCATGGTTGATTTAAATTCTTCTCTTCTTCTTCAAGTGATGAAGTAAACAACTTTAAGTTTCATTATATCCTTTCAGCAAGGATACGGAGAAGTGATTGTAATGCAATAGAGTGCAGTTGATGATATTCTTGTTCTTTGTACGGTTGATGCGTCAAGTACTATTGGAATTGATTTTTGCAATGGCTGCTCTAGAATTTTCATTATTTCAAAAGTTAATTGTTGCTGGAGTTCTTGTGTGACTGATTCAAGCCATTTTATCAGTTGATAGTTCGAAGAAAACTGATCCAAAGGCGCAGGCCTTGAAAACTGCTAAAGCAGTCAAGTCAGGCCCTGCCTTCAAAAAGAAGGCCAAGAAAATCAGAACCTCTGTTACATTCCATCGGCCAAAGACTTTGAAAAAGGCTAGGAATCCCAAGTACCCTCGTATTAGTGCTCCACCAAGGAATAAACTCGATCATTATCAAATTTTGAAGTACCCTCTCACTACTGAGTCTGCAATGAAGAAGATTGAAGACAACAACACTTTGGTTTTCATTGTTGACCTACGTGCTGACAAGAAGAAGATAAAGGATGCCGTGAAGAAAATGTATGACATTCAGGCCAAGAAAGTAAATACCTTGATCAGGTGAGCCTTTGCATACTGAGGCTTTAACGATAATCAGTTGACTCTGGAGCATTTCTAATTATGATCCATATTGCCCCTTGCCATCTTTTCTCTTTTATTGTCGTTCAAGTTAGATATGTGTTGGCATTTATAGGTTTTTGGTTGTGTATTAATATATATGAGGAAAGAACTTGAAGTGCTTGGCATAGTGTTTACAACTTTACTTGCAGTTATAATCTTAGGATTTTTCTTTTGCTTAAGTGGTAAAAAATTGTTTGGGTTTGTATTAGATTACTACCTGGAGAATTAGTTTGAGCTTATATCGATTGGTGGAGGAACTTTGCTGCAATTTCCCCTAAATTTGCTTTATCCTATTACAGGCCCGATGGCACCAAGAAGGCATATGTTAGGCTGACTCCTGATTATGATGCATTGGACGTGGCAAACAAAATTGGGATTATCTAAGTGTGAATCCTGCATCGCCTCTGTTATTTTCCTTGTAAAAGTTGTCAGGCAGTTTCATGGAGAGGTAATTCATAGGAGACTTTCGAAACATGGTTGAGTTCTATATTTTGTTTTATTTCTGTTCAATTGTCATTAACTAGACTTCAGGTTACAATTTTGACATGAAATTTACTTTTTAAGTTGGTGGGTTTAATGAGCCTACGATCTTTTCATTCAGTAGGAGGGATGAGCCGACTGGGACCTCGCGTTTTTAGCTTAAAATTCTGTGGTGTTTCTTTCTTTCTTCGTTTTTTTTTCGGATGAGGAATTCGTGTGGTATTTCGTGAGAAATGAAAAATTCGTGATCTCTAAGGCACCAGATGGTTATCCGTGTTTGTGTTTGTGATATTTGAAAGGTGCCTTTTCAATCCACGCTATATTTTACGGAAATGAAGCGAGGTTGGGTTTCGAACGTGTCGATGGGATTCACAAAGTACCCGCGCAAGGAAAGCGTGACCTGATAATAGAGTTTAAAATTCGATGCCTAACTTTTTCTTTAGGATATTACATGAAAGTTTTGATTGGCGAAGTTCTATTTATTATCTTCCATGATCGAATGTACTCAACTGTAATGATACTTCTATGCTGGCGTTGCTATGTTATCTTCCCATGGTTGCTTGTCGGTGCAAGCAATTATGGATTTGAAAAATCAAATAGGAAAATCCATCCAATCCCATGAACCGGGGAAAAGAGAGAGAGAGGAAAACTAACGTTAGAGTTTAGGAATGATAAAAACGAAAGCGAATCAATTGGAACATGAGATGGTTTGTACTGTTGATGCCTGACGGCCTAACTGTGAAGCCCTTGGCACCGAAGAGCCTTCTCTGTTTAGCGTCTCGCGTAGCGATGTGTAGTAAGAAACAGGGGAGTCCAAGTTAAGAGCGAGATGATCATAATTGACATTAGATCTGCAGAGAGGACAACTTGAGTGAGACCGAAGCCACGTGGCTATGCAGGAAACATGAAAGACGTGGGCGCAGCTAGGAAGTCTCTTAACCCATTCTTCTTCTTCAAACTCTCCCAAGCATATCGCGCACTCTCTGTTGGTTCCCTCGTTCTTCTTAAACTGAGACATCGGAAGAGCCGATATGACCCCCAACTCTAACCCACGACCTCGAATCTGTCTAGAATAGTGATCATCAGGGTCGGGCTCGTCCAAATCCCCACTTGAAGTGCGGTTTCTAGAGGAACTAGTGGGAGCGGTTCTATAGAAGAGGCAATGAAATATGCTGTAGAAAGTTAGTATGATGAAGATGGCAGAGAATATCACAACTGAGGATACCTTGTGTGCTTCCCAAAAGAAAGAATCATCCTCAGGCGTGCCAGAATTGGATGACATGATCCCCTCGTTATGAGCTCAAGGGAATAAGGCTTTTGCCGAGCATTTCAATCCAGTAAATCGCGGCCTAACAGGAGGATTAAGCAACGGAACGTTCTTGCCCAAGTACATAAATCCTCGTAGCGACACAAGAATCGGAGATAAATTTAAGGCTTCACATATGGTAATGATTCTTGTATTAGATAGATAATATCAAAGTCACCAAAATTGAAAAAAAGATACTTTTATGCCTATATCTTAACGTATGCGCCGGACAAATTTGTATATATTATATCGACTTAGTCTAGATATTCCTTGTCCAGGTATGTTGTAATTGTATGTCTCTGTAAGCTAAATTTAGCATAGTACTTTCAGAGGATGATCGAGAAGAGAACATGAATTAGCATATTAGAACTAAATTTGCCTTTTTGTCTCTAAACATAAACATCGGGGAAAACCGACAAGGCTACGTCACTCAAACATCAATCAAAAGAAGGGTATGCCATTTACACCAATCACCGAACTCCATTTACAAAAGTGGTTTAGATAAAGGCACTAATTGATACTGCATCAAAATCACTGGTCAAAGCCTCTGACGCTTGCTTGCAGGAACTTGGTAGTTAAAACTCGCAGTCGAGGTCGACTGCCAAGAAACAGCGTTATTAATAGCAAAGTTCATCATAGAAGCTGAAGAACACGTCTCGAGAGCTTTCATCGGAAACCCAGAAGAATTCGAGTATAGAGCTGGGGATTCCAAGTCCTTAATGCTGAAAGGTGGAAGCTTAATGGGTTGAATAGGAGGTGGATTTCTCCAACAAGGAAGCGGACCAGCAACGAGAAGAGTCTGAAGCAACGGTCCAGCTTCCATCACAGACTGAAGCAGCTTTCCTTTTTGAGGCAGAGCTTTTCCTTTGATCAGATTCTCAATAACCACACTAGCAGGATCACGCTGGGTCTTTTCAGAATTGAAAAAACCCACGTTTCGGGAATCGGCAACATTCATGTTTGAGAAATCAGGAGAAGAAACTGCGTCCAGAAAGGAATCTACCGCGGAAGAACCGTGAGAGAGACTGTTGGATTCAGTGGTGCTTGAGTTCGCTTTTGTGTTGGGCAACATAATCAGACTTTCGCGAATAACCGGAGGAATGACATTATCCTCGGGAACACTCGGCGATGATGTGGTTGCTAGCTTGTGAAGAACTTTCATGAGTGCTTCTCGAAGTTCGTCTCTTTCATGGTATACAACCTTGAGGAGATCGAACAGTTCCATCTTGAGTTTGTTTGCCGATTCTAGTTCGATCATCGAATGAAGAAGCTTCTGCTTCAATTCCTCAATGCTCTGCATATTCCGAAACACAAAATGTCACCATCGTAAAGTTTCATGAGGGACTCATCGATGAACTTAATGAAAAGATCTTGCGGTGGTTGACACCAAGCCACCGACCATGGGTGGGCGTTACGGAGTGAATTTTGAGCAGGAGAAACATTTTTCTTTTTTAAAAAGAGGGTATAAATGACCAAGGGAAACGACAACGTTTGGTGCGTTGGACACGAGGATCATGTTAGATTTGGCTTTTGCAGTCATGAACTTGGACCCTAATTTTAGTCCCTGTAGAACGATAAAATCTCACGAATCTCCCAAACTTGCAAATTACGAAAGATTTTTTAAAATAGGAAACTATTCAAATTATGGAAAGCAAATTACGGGATAAAACGGGGTCAGAATAAATTAGTACAGTGGGAAAATAAAAGGACAAATCAGAAATTTGAGAATTAGAGTCGGCACCACCAAACCCATCTTTTCAAAACGAAGATTTCTGTAGGATCAAGGAAATCAAAAGGAAAAAAAAATATCTGGCTTTTTCTGCCTGCTCTGTCACATTCAAGAAGTTTCAAACCAAAGGCAAATTCTAGAAACACAACAAAGACTGACCGAAGGATATAAAATTTCTCAAAAAGATCTTCCATTGTTCACACCTTGTCCTCAATACACGCACATGACACAATTCTCCAGTATTAATAGCAGAAAAAGTTTATTCTTCAGTACTGGAGTCTGTCCGAATATTGAGCGAAGCAGAAAGAATATACCAAAACCAATTCGCAGTCCAGTAGTATTATTCATCGTGGCAGAGAGAAAACTGGAACAGCGAAATTTACAAAACAGAAAGTTTGAAGCTTGAAGAAAAAGATAGACACCAGAGAAGTGAAAGGGAATGACAATTGCAAAAACTAAGTTCTATGAGAAGCGAATGAAAGATTCGGCATTAAAGGCATTGAAAAAAAGAGAACCGACGTAAAGGAAGACACTTTGAATGAAGGATCAAACAGGAAGGAGGGAGATGAAGGAAAAACAGGCAAAGAAAGACCCACCTCCGATTCAAAGGCCCATAACGACCCAAAATCTTCCATTGTTGTTCCCGTGATGTAGTCAGAGAGGAGGAGCAGCAGCAGAAGAAGGAGAAAAAGGGAATAATGGAAAAAAGAAAGGAATTGCAGGGGAGATAAAGAACAGGGCAGGACCTCTAATTTATAGAGAGGGGAGAAAAAAAAGAAAGAAGAAAAGAGGCGAATAGGACAAAATGGAAGGAGGTGGGCCGGAGACAAGAGAGGGAGAGAAGAGAGGAGCTAAGTATGCAATGAATACTATGAATGAATGAGTGAAATAAATAAATAAATCAGGATTTTCTTTTTTTACTGAAAAAAATAAATCAGGAGATGACAAAACAATATTGCTTGTGGGCAAAAATATGGAAATTCCATGTTCTGCGACGTGGGAAGGATTTGAAACCCTCCCCCACTTTCAGGGGGGGGTGTCTCTCTCCCCAAATAAAATCGCTTTCTGTCTCCCTTTCTGGTCAATCGCTTCATTTCCTTTTATAAATCGCTCCGCTAAAATTCACCTTTAAAAGTTTCAACTTTAAACGCCAAATTTTCCTCTCCTCTTTTTAAGAAATTTTGAAGAAGATTAAAAAAAAAAATGTAGCTGATCTGTTTACGCGTTTTAGACAACTCTTCATTATAAGCCATAATTTCTTGATGAATTCCTTCTTTCCTCCTCAGAGTGTTGTTCTTTATCTGAGTCTGGCTCCGCAAACAATTTAATCAAACAATAATCTGTATGTGTGATTTTGGTAATAACTATGGGTTGGATTTTTAAATTTCTGAAATTGTCTTCCATTTTTTATTTCGACGGTCTCTTGTCATTTTTATTCAAACATTTAAAATTTAAATCAATTTAAGCCGTTACATGGTTATCAAATCATCTCTTAAAGAATTCAAGTACTTAAGATTCTCACTCACGCACACGTACAAATAGATAAACAAGAACAATAATACAACACCTACAATTATCTCAGAAGCGGGCTATGAAGAACAATTTTTAACTTAAATATTAAATAGTCAGTAAACTGATTATTGATGCAACAACGGCATCCTCCCCCATTCATCCTAATTACTGGATCGTTTATTTAATTAAAAGATATATTTGTTCTCAACTACTCGCGACATTTTTCTTGTTAAACTTATTTAGAATTAAATATCATGCTTTGATTATTTTAAAACTGATTTTCTTTTATACTACCATTTAGCCAGATTTTTCGTTGTACCATAAAGACAATAATATATTCGAGATCTTGAAGTATGTCAGCATTAGCAGTAACACGCAATCGTAATAATGGTAATTAAGTGGATTCTAGGCGATGACAACGACTGTCACGGGTTGATAATAATACTAAAAAATACTAATAATAATCGCAAACGAACTGTTAAGAAACAAACAACAAAATACCCAAAGCGAATAGAGAGAATAAATAGGCAAAGAAGAGTGGAGAACACCATATTTAAACTCAAAATCGTAAGATTCAGGATTATGAGTCCTTCTAATCAACACAATTTCCTGGTCTTA